AGACAGGGAAACACAAGACTGGGATTGTGACAGTTTGTATAAAATCAATATCACATTTTGCAATTTTGCTCATATTCGTGAAAACAGCTCTGTTGCTCTTGTGATACTGTTTAATTTTATATTTTATAATATGAAAAACAAGATCTCATACAAGTACATTTTGCAATCATATCTTGAATTTTTTGGGGCATTTGTTTCAGTTTTTGTGAAATTAATCCCAAGATTCAGCCCAATCATTTTTGACTGGGCACAGCAGTATCAGAAGAAATAAAGCATCAAAAGAAATAAGTTATTGATTGCATTTGAAGCAGGAAGTTTTACATCATCATATTAAAGGGGTCATATGATGTTGCTAAAAATAACTTTATTTTGTGTATTTGGTGTAATGAAATGTGTTTATGCGGTTTAAGGTTCAAAAAATACATTATTTTCCACATACTGTACATTATTGTTTCTCCTCTATGCCCCGCCTTTCTGATTTTTACAAAGCTCATCAGTCTGAAAAGCGAGGTGTGCTGTGATTGGCCAGCTATCCAGTGCGTTATGATTGGCCGAATACCTCAAGCGTGTGACGGAAATGTTACGCCCCTTAACATATTGTGATGATGCCCTGTCAGGCCGGAGCGACAATTATATACTTAATTATAAAGTTGCAAAGACTAAAGTCTCAAATCCAAAGAGATATTCTTTATAAAAGTTAAGAGTCAAGTCATGTCAAGTCTCTGTTTGGATTATGTTTGTATTTTGGATTACTTTTTGAATAAACTGCACATGGGTTCTTAAACTCGCCTACAGTGGACTGATCGTATATAATATCCAATATCAATATTATAATGATATCTTGAAAATCCTCATCTGGTAATCACAAATGTCTAAAAATCCTGGAAAGATGCTGGAGCCCTGAACATTAGTGACACCATAATGGATTTACTGCCTTAGTGAAATAAGGCTTTGTGAGTTTTGATATTCGATTCAACTATTTTTATTCATCGCTGGAAATGATTTGCATAGCTTCAAGGGTGGCATGTCCTTGTTGACAGATTGGACATTAGCATACCTCTCCATGCGAATTCAGCCTTCACACACAGCTCAGCTCCTTCATCCCTCATCCATATTCAGCACTTCAGATGAGTGTGATCTGTGTGTCTACAACACACATTCTGTCATCATTGTCTTACCCTCAAGGTACCTCTTTTAGGAATATCCTGGTTACTTTTTGCATATAAAAATAGTATGGAAGCCCGTTTCTGCCACAGAATAGTAAATAAATAAATAAATGTGATTTTTTTTTTCTCACAATTCTGACTTTTTTATCATAATTGCAAGACATAAACTTTTTTTATACCACATAATAAAAAATAAGGTAATTGCAACTTTTAATCTCACATTTTTGACTTCTTTTATCACGATTGCTAGTCACGCACCGGCTGTGTCGAGGACGCGCTCAGGATGCGCTCAGGACAGTTCAGACATTGCGGTGAATCAGAGGTAAAAAACGATATAAATACTGTTCAGTTTCTTGCACAGACCGATCGTTTCGTGTCTTTACACATCAATGTATCATCACGAGCCGCAGGGTTTAATTAGGTTTTGTTTGTGTATGTTTTTTTACTCTCAAAACTGTGATTCCCATTCACTTCCATTATATGACTGACAGACTGCAACGGTTTGATTTAAAAATCTTCTTTGTATTCTGCTGAAGAAACAAAGTCATCTACAGCTTGGATGCCCTGGGGGTAAGCAGATAAACATCAAATTTTCATTTTTGGGTGAACTATTCCTTTAATAACCTGTGAAAGTGAACATTAATGTAACGTGAACAGCTGTAAACCATTTATTAACGAGTTATAAACGGTAATAACCCGTGAAAGTGAACATTAATGTAACACACAACACACAAATCATTTATGGCGTGTATGTCGAACGTCACATGACCAAACACGGAAAACAGGTCTCATCTGCTTGTCGGAGGACGTGTTAACCGTATTAACTAATGGTTATGTCTATGGACTTTTAAGGTAATCAGTTAAACTAGCTGGTTGTTTTTATTGTTGCTGTTTTATTCAGTTTTAATATCTAAATATGAGTGAAAATAATAAGAATAAAAATAAAAAACTTTTAGATATCAATCCGCATATGTGATGGACATTGGTTATGATCAACTTTGAAGGCATCTCGAGTAAAACAGCTCCATATTTAACGAAGCATATACAAAACACTTGAACCGGAAGCGACGAGACCTGTTTTACAGAATACGGAAGTCTGTTGTGCATAACCCCCATTTATTGATCATTATCATTGTCGCTGGCCTCTGAGCCTTTTTATAATATTCTGGAAGAGTTTCTCTTGTCTCCACTGAAATTTGCTCTTTTTCCATCCCTCAGGCTTCATCTGGCTCCATCGTTGTCCTCAGTCACTCTGGCTCTGCCATGGTCTTCTGGGTCTCCGCCTCCACCTCAGTCGCATGAGCCGTCAGCTCCGCCTTTGTAAATTAGTTATTAGTCATTTATGAACACCTTTATAATAAACCCTTTACAAAGGGAACCTCAATGTAACGTGTTACCGACGTCAGTAACATGAGGGTGAGTAAATGATGGCAGAATGTCCATATTTGCTCAAACGATCAGTTTCATTTGTCAGATATAGTGCATCAAAGGAATAGAGGTCACTTTTGGTCTTTCGCAGCATCTTTGTCTCTGTTCCTTTTGCTGCGGACAAATTATGATCCACATGCAAAACATGAAATAAGGTTATGGTTGCCTACACAGCAGTAAGTAATTGAAAGGCTTGACACTGGAAAACAAAAGCTCCATTGAAGACGGCAAATTGAATTTGGTAGTATCCATTAATGTCACTACAGCAAGATGGAGAGAGAGAGAATGCTCTTCAAGGTAATTACCTTCAATTTTCTGCTATTAAACTCCATCAGAATGGACAGAGCGCATATCAGAGATGAATCTACACACATACAGAGTTATATGACTGACAGACTGCAACGGTTTGATTTAAAAATCTTCTTTGTATTCTGCTGAAGAAACAAAGTCATCTACAGCTTGGATGCCCTGGGGGTAAGCAGATAAACATCAAATTTTCATTTTTGGGTGAACTATTCCTTTAATAACCTGTGAAAGTGAACATTAATGTAACGTGAACAGCTGTAAACCATTTATTAACGAGTTATAAACGGTAATAACCCGTGAAAGTGAACATTAATGTAACACACAACACACAAATCATTTATGGCGTGTATGTCGAACGTCACATGACCAAACACGGAAAACAGGTCTCATCTGCTTGTCGGAGGACGTGTTAACCGTATTAACTAATGGTTATGTCTATGGACTTTTAAGGTAATCAGTTAAACTAGCTGGTTGTTTTTATTGTTGCTGTTTTATTCAGTTTTAATATCTAAATATGAGTGAAAATAATAAGAATAAAAATAAAAAACTTTTAGATATCAATCCGCATATGTGATGGACATTGGTTATGATCAACTTTGAAGGCATCTCGAGTAAAACAGCTCCATATTTAACGAAGCATATACAAAACACTTGAACCGGAAGCGACGAGACCTGTTTTACAGAATACGGAAGTCTGTTGTGCATAACCCCCATTTATTGATCATTATCATTGTCGCTGGCCTCTGAGCCTTTTTATAATATTCTGGAAGAGTTTCTCTTGTCTCCACTGAAATTTGCTCTTTTTCCATCCCTCAGGCTTCATCTGGCTCCATCGTTGTCCTCAGTCACTCTGGCTCTGCCATGGTCTTCTGGGTCTCCGCCTCCACCTCAGTCGCATGAGCCGTCAGCTCCGCCTTTGTAAATTAGTTATTAGTCATTTATGAACACCTTTATAATAAACCCTTTACAAAGGGAACCTCAATGTAACGTGTTACCGACGTCAGTAACATGAGGGTGAGTAAATGATGGCAGAATGTCCATATTTGCTCAAACGATCAGTTTCATTTGTCAGATATAGTGCATCAAAGGAATAGAGGTCACTTTTGGTCTTTCGCAGCATCTTTGTCTCTGTTCCTTTTGCTGCGGACAAATTATGATCCACATGCAAAACATGAAATAAGGTTATGGTTGCCTACACAGCAGTAAGTAATTGAAAGGCTTGACACTGGAAAACAAAAGCTCCATTGAAGACGGCAAATTGAATTTGGTAGTATCCATTAATGTCACTACAGCAAGATGGAGAGAGAGAGAATGCTCTTCAAGGTAATTACCTTCAATTTTCTGCTATTAAACTCCATCAGAATGGACAGAGCGCATATCAGAGATGAATCTACACACATACAGAGAGCTCTGACCTCCACTGCGTCCACATCTGCACAGGAACAACCTTTATTTACACGCAGACTTCTACGAGCTAATGAACTAGCAAATAACTTGAAACGGAGGTCAACATTTAGACAAATAAGGATGAAATTGTTTGGTATGTGTCTTAGAGTTTTGTGTGAAATATTCTGAAGCAGTAGGTTCAGTTTAAAAAATGTATCACATGAGTCTGAACAATTTTGAAGCTCTGTGGACTTTCCATAAGCGGCCTGCTAAAGAAGTCAGATCTACTCAAGAGTTTTCATGCATCCTGCTTACTGTAGCAAGAGGTTGTATATAGCTAAAAGATACACCATAATATACAAGTATTGAAATACTTTCCTGTACTTTTCTATTCCAGGCAATGTCATTTAATCACGTGATTCATTTAAAATGTGCTCCAAATAATCAAATATTTTATGATTATTCAAAAACTGGTATAACTCATTCAGTTCATCCTCAATAGCAAATGGAAAGGTTCAGAAAGGCAACAGTCCCATATAGCTAGTTTCATATGCAAAGTAAAATATTTTATTGAAATGCATTAAAAAAAAACTTGAATACATAAAGCACACAAGAGGGCTTCAGAAACCTCCAAATGGACCTCAAGATGGCTTAAAGTTATTTGAAATAAGACAAAAAGGCATGAAAATAAGCTAAAACAACTCTAATTAAAATTTGAATTGTCCCACTCAACTTTTTTTTTTTTCCTTTGAAGAATGTTTTGGAAAACCTTGAGATATGAGGTAGACTAATTACAAAAGTTTTGGGCACTTTTATAAAGAACATACATTTTTCTTATGCCAAGCTCTAAAGAATTTTCTCATGTAGAAACTGTGAGAAACGATGAATTTCAAATCTCTATCCTTAATTCTTATTATAAACGACTGGAAAAGTTGTGTAAAATAATTGGTTAAAAAAGAGTGCGATCCCTGAAGAACATTAAGCTCTTATTTGAATCATTATTATTTCAGTCACTTATTTTACTTTACAGAAACTAGATTAAAATAAGTTTTGAAGACAAAACTAGGCCTATAGGGGGCCTTTGAATATTGTTGTGAACTATGGACAATAGCCTTAGAGTCGAAACGGTTGAGAACCGCTAGTGTAAGTTGCGGTCTTTAAACACAGAAGAAGTCCATGTCCTACAGAGAGAAAGAAACCCAAATATATAATGCATTATCAGAATAAAACGTATAATGTGAAGAGCAGTAGATTAAATACTCACAGTGGTTGGGATCTCAACCGTTTTCTCCTGAAAAGCATGTGTCTCATTGATATAGTTACTGGGGAAATATCCGATCACACCCATCTGGTCTACATAGCGCTCACCGTAGACCTGCAAAAGCAAAGCTGCTGCTGTGATTTCTGGGTTTGCAGTCAGATCAGCTGAGGGAAATGTCAAATGTTAAGACACGCACACTTCCAGACCAGAAGACTCCGGCTCCCTCTACAGGCTTGAGTTTAGAAAACACATAGATACTCTGGCCACGTCTCAGGTTGATGTATCTGCAGTCTGAAGCGACGTAGTCTTTAAGAGCTTTAGCCATTGCAATCACATCTGTGAGGCAGAAACCAGACTTCATAAACAAAGAACAGGAACATTTACAAAAATAAAACAATAACTGAATATTCCCACCACTATTGCCCAGGAAAGAAGATGCAGTCTGTCACTAAGAAACCTGCCTCTCAACAAAATCTAAGCTACAAGCATCTATGAAACAGAAATAGCTTTGGACAATAGTAATCATAATTAATAACTAGCTTAATATTGTTTCCAAGTCATTAAACATAGCTTTGCCATGTACTGTGATGAATAGTGTAACTCACATGAGCAGTCCTTGTCTGCACAGATCTTGAAGTTTGCCAGTTTCTCCATGAGAGCAGCGTGTGCCATGTGACCCACACAGATCCACAGGAAGATCAGGCCGAGTGATTTGTCCATCTTCAAAGAATGGTAAGGGAGGAATCACTTCTCACTGCATGCACATTCCCCGCTGAGAGTCCAGCTGCACATTCCAGCTTCAGGGAAAACCAGCCGCTTCCGGACTCACACTCACTCTCCAGACAAACACTGACTCGCATGTCTGCTGCATCATCAACTGCAGTCTAATAACACTTTTATTAACAAACATTGCATAATGCTTCATGCAAAGCAATAATGAATAGCCTATGTATGAAAATAAATGAAGGCAATACAGTTTATAACACGGTTTGTGTACATTCACAACACATTACACATTTCCATATCTGCAATTTAAACCACAAATAAAGTGCCCTCCAAAAATGAACAATAGCAGCAAAAATCCTTGTCATTTCTAGCAGTGTAAATGCACTTGAGTAACTTGTAATTATCACTGAAGACTGTAGAAATAATGGTTTTCTTTCTGATTACATAGTAATGGCAGTATATACTGTGTTGCTTGTGTCACGCTCTTGCGGGAGATAGGAGCACGGAGACAAAGATGATTCGGTACGCATTTAATAATAATCCAAGATGATGAAGATTCAATAGACACACAGGGAGACACAAGCAGCATACTCAATGACAATAGCTGACAATGAACTGGACTGAAAGGAGAACTAAAGTACTCAGACCATCGTAAAGCGTCCTTGAGCCCGGGAAAGGCACTATATAAATAAAACATTAATATTATTACCAAATGACGATAATTAACAAGGCACAGGTGAACTAACTAATGAAATCAAGGGGAGACAGAAAATAGGTCAATGGACAAAAGCAAGGCGGGAGAAGAGGAAAACACAGAAAACAAGCTCCATACTGTGACAGCTTGACTACTGGATTACTCTGTTTGTTTGTTTGTTTGTTTGTTTGTTTGTTTAGATAATTGATCAGGTCAGCACACTTGAATTACTTTTGTGATGCCACCCAAACAATTTTAGGACTGATACTGTATAACTAACTCATCATCATCTTGTAGAAATTTTGGGGGGGGGATAAGTTATAATAATGTTTAATAAAAGCCAAACAACCAAAACTATTTTCAAAACAGTTGGTGTGGTCCAGATATGCAGCTTCTTGCTGGGGAAACATCCATATTTCCTACTTGGTCAATGTGAAATATTTCCTATTTCTCTTAATGCCGACGGGTGGCGCTGTTGCGCCGTTTGATCACTTACTTTAATTCACTCTATAGGGGAAGAACCCCATGAACAACCTACATATGCATGTAGAGGATCGTTATGCATCACCCAACATACTATTATGGGAATCAAATGGAAACAATTAACAATCTAGTTGTAATGGCACAAAAATTAAAATTATGAAATGGGGCAATCTTGCCCCACCATTGGGGCAAGAAGCCCCGGGGGCATCTGACCTTTACAGAACATTTTATCTAAAGGCCAAATTAATCTTAATAATTTTATTTTTGCAAAATCTAACCAAATTGGTAAAATTATGCATTTGGTCCCCACAATGTAGAATAAACAAGTACACACACACACACACACATACACATAATACATTTCTTTCAGACTATTTCATCTAGATAGATAGATGATGGATGGATGGATGGATGGATAGATAGATAGGTGATAGATAGAAAATGAATATCTTCCACAGTTTTTAATTATAATTATTATACTCTTAGGCGTCTGTCCACATTTTTAACGTTTTTAAAACAATTTTAAAGGTTCTCAAACGCAACAAACTGCTACAAAACGTTCCGAGAAAGCTAAATGGTAACACTTAATTTTAAGGTGTCATTGTTACACTGTTTCATATACTTACTATTATAATAACAATTAATTATGCATAATTACATGCAAGTAACCCTAAGCCAAACCCTAACCATATAGTAAGTACATGTAGTTAATTAATATTACTCAGTACTTAAATGTATAATTAGACTAACAAGGACACCTTAGAATAAAGTGTAACCAGCTAAATAAAGAGATGCTCATGTAGAAAGTGTATAAAATATCTTTCGTCTTCAAAGTAAACAGAAATCCAAATATCCCTAGAGAAAAGGTTTTGACTGCGTGTTACTGATCATAGATTTTATTTTATTTTTTCACAATAACAAAACTGATGTAAAAGCAGTGCAATGTTTTGTTTCACTTTTTGTTATGTGACAGGCTATTCGTGTAAGGTTACGTGGTGATTGCAGCATATGCCGAAATTATGAATATTCATCAGTCACTCACATTATAACAATACTTCCGTCTTGTGTTTTTCAGAATGTTGTGGATCCACTTCTAGTGTTCTCACAGGATTCTATTCTATTCTATTCTATATACTCTTATGACAACGTTTCAAAGAGCAATAACATTATACAATACAGTACCAAATAAGAAATATATTTTAGTCCCTTTCGCCTAACGTAATGAACAGGACGTAGTTAGAGCGCTGGGTGGAGGCGGAAGTGACGCACGAGCGGCGGTTGAATGGCGTCGTTGGCGTGGGGAGATACTTCGGATGGCGACAATGATCAAGACATGGATTTTCAGGAAGTAAGATACAGTAAAAGGAAAAAAAAGAGTAGCATGGGTGATGGATCTGATTGTGAGCAAACAATTAATAAAGTAAGACATACGAGAACTGAAGCTGATAAAGCGGTTGAAGAAAGAGAAATCAAAGTGATAATTACTTTTGCTAAGCAGTCAGAACAACAAACTCATCCTGTTAAACTGTCAAAAGCAATTGAGAAAGAGATAGGGATAGTGAAAGCTGTATCTTGTCTTAGCAATGGAAGAATAATGATTAAATGCAAGGATGAAAAACAGAAGCATAATTAAGGATGGGTCACACAGGACTAAATTCAACACTTGCATTAATGGGGAAGCATGAAAATGGTATGTGTGATGAATGTGGTGTTTTTGAAACAGTAGAGCATGTGCTCTTTAAATGTAGTAAATATGAAGATCAGCGTAACAGTCTTTTTAGCAATATAAGGAACAGACCAGTGAGTGTCGTGGACCTTCTGGGAAAGGGTTTGAGTGATAGTCAGATGTTTAAGGTGGTTTTAACATTTTTAGAGCTCACAGGATTAGGCCACAGGATTTAGTGTTTGAGGATGAGGATCGTGATGCTTCTGCCCATCTCGGAGGTTGAGGAGCACAGTGTGGAAGCTGGAGGAGCTGAAGCTTGGGCTCTGATCCTCTGGGGTGGGTGGGGCATTACACACTTTTTTTGTTTTTTCTCCTTCAGTACAGATTCATCACTCATGTGCGCAAGATATACAGTAGGTGGCGGTAATACTCCTAAGGAGTGAACGGCCATTGAACAAAAAGAAGAAGAAGAAGACGTAATGAACAGAAAGTTTGCATGACGCACTTCCGCAAACGTGAACCGGACGTTGGCTTGTTGTTGTGTTGTGGGGGGTTGAGCCCCGCCGGTGGCTCGAGCTTATTTAGGATGCTTCGCTGCCTTTCTGCGTGTTTATATCTCTCGGAAGCAGCGGGGAGAATGGCGTAGGACAGACAGGGTGGTTTTCCAGGCGCCGGTCATCATTATTTCAGGGTTTGGGCAGGGATGGACCCGCGGGTGTCCGAGCTCTTCGGGGCCGCTGCTGCCGCACAAAAGTCCGGCGGCAGAAAAACCGCCAAAAATGGAAGCAAAAAGTTCAAAAACCGGTCAGCCCGATATCCAAAAGCCAGCAATAACCCGCCTTATCTACCTCCAGAGGTGAGTCTGCTCTGTTTAGCTGTGCTCAAACACATCTGTCTGTTTTACTGTCCTCCCACTGCTGCCGCTGTACCGCATTTATACTTCTGGTTCCTTCTAACGACGTTAACGTTATATGTTTTGTATGTTTCGGGGTTTGTGACTGCAAATGCAGTGATAATAACACACTTAGATGAAGCTACAGTCAGTGTATAATGTCAACAGGGTTATTACTGTAAAATGTGCTAATAATGAGACCGATGAAACATGATAACAGAAACTTATAAAATTAGCCTCTCTAGCAGCTCAAAAATAGCTGAGCCCATTGTTACCCTGTAAACATAATAAACATGAAATGCAGCATAACACACTTTGATGGCATAAGAAGATGCTTTTTGAAATCAAATATAAAGAAATTCACCTTTCCCTATACATAGTCGTATTATTTACTTATGCAATGTATTTTTACAGTAGAAATTCATGTTTTTTTTTTTTAAATGTACTATAATTTAATCAATATAATAGTATTTGTACATTGTTGTGGCAAGTACATGTATTCCACATAACCTGTCCATTAATTTAAGCTTATAAAACTGCTTGTATGTGTGATAATTACATGAGAGTTGAGTTATTATAGCTTGTCACACTGCAGAACGTTTAAGAGAGATTCATGGCTTTCACTTTTTTGTTTGGCTGGCAATAAAGGAGAGCTTCTAAACCGAGACGTGGACCTCAATAAAGATGAGAGAGAAGGAGTGTAATGAGAGGTTGGGCCGTTTCTATGACATCCAGTCTGTTGAATCATTATTGTGTCCGTATTGTTTCATTGTGTCACATTGACACACCGCGCAAAAGCTGTGTTTGTGAATATCAGAGAGACAGGCGGGAAGAGGCGATGAATGCTGATTCAGTGTTGAAGTCAGTCATTAGCTGGACTTGTTGAACCAGATTGTTACTACTTTAGTAAAAGCAAATGAATTATGCCTAGGGCTTGTGACGCATGTTCAACACTCCCTTGTTCGTTTTGTCTGTGCTTAAATAGTTTTGAAGTTAGCAACTGATCCAACCTACAGTTAAAATGTGAGGGAAATGGATCTCAAATTAAGGTAGTTAAGTAAGACATGTACAGTAAGAGACTATTCTGAGCCAACATATCTGTTGGACTTCCTGCGCGGCTCTTTCTCTTCTGTCTTTGTGCTTTTGAGTCCTGAACTGTGTGACGTTTGAGCTCGGTTCAAGCATTAACTCTGTCCTGTCTTGTGTTTCAGGCTGAAGAGGGAAACATTGAGTACAAGGTAAACTCTCCGCAAGCTAACATCTACAGACGTATTTACCAGATATGCACAACAGAGCGTGATTTGCGCATGAATGTTTGTTGAAAGAATATACCTGGTCGATAATATTTTGTATTGCATTTTACGCATGCATAGGTTACCCACAATGCATTGTAAGTAGCGAGCTGGCCGCAGTCCGAGTAAATGTA